TCTTTGTATCTTTTTCTGATGAACCTTTGCAACCTAATCCACAAAAGTGATGAGAATTTTTATACCATCGTCAACAACAGCAAAAGTAAATCATTCCAGAGAGCGTTCTATCTGTCATGCTCTGGGCCAAACTTTACGTGCTGTATCTCATTTAATTCTCATGGCAACTTTATGAGCTAGAGGTTGATTTCCCTTTCACTGTCCAGATGAGGAAACGGAGGTTTAGGAAAGTGAAGTAACTGTTTCAGGTACATCGTGAGTTAGACTTGAAACCAGGCTGATTGGATGCCTATGCCTCTTTTCCAAAAATGATACAATACCAGTCAAAAGCTGCATCTTCCCATGAAGGCCTCTCCATGTTTCAGACTTGGCTTATGCTACAAGATCAAAAACCATTCTAACTCCCTGCAAAGAGATCTAGGTTAGCTCTGTGGAAGCTGAAACTATTCTCTGAAGCCTCTGAAGGTGTCTATAGACATTTTTAAGTAGTAAAGAACTACTAGAAGCACATTGGTTTAGTAGATAATAAAGTGGTTTCACATCCTAATTCTGTCTCTCAGTTACTGTGTGACCTCAGGAGATTTGCTCTGTTTCTCTGAGCCTGAGTAAAATGTGGATAAGTATAACTGCCTCAGAGCTGATATTTGTGAATGTGCCAGCACAACCCTGGTACATCCCTCAAAGCTGTTCTCTTAAAAGGCAATTAATTGGCCACATCACCTTTTAAACAGAATAAAAATAAATAAACAAATCTGATCGCTTCCTCAGTGAGCATCCAAACTCGGTGAACGATACCTAATAGTTTTGAGAAAAGTATGGCAATCCACATACATATGGATATACTAAGTGCTCTAGCTCTCTGAACATAACCTGCCACTTTATATCTTTTCCCTGCTCTTTCACACCACACACACACACACACACACACACACCAATTGAATCCTGCTGCAACCTTATCTCCCTGATTCTCAAACACATGCCTAACACTTGCTCAAATAATATATATCTGTTCTCCAGCCAGTTATAACATGGACAGTGAAAAACACAAGAATTTGATGCAGATAAAGCACCCAAGAGAGGCTGAGATGCTGGGAGCTACTTGCTTAGCGATAGAGGATTCCTGTCATAGAGAAAGTGGAAGAGAAAAGACAAGGTCCGCTCTGTTTTCACTATTTGGTTGGCTCTGAGATAGGTGGGCCCCACTTCTTATAACACTGAATTTCACATGGCTTTTTATGAGCAAAGGGTCCATTTCTACATTGCACCTCTGGATTTAAAAGAGGAAATTTCAACCTCAGAATAATGTTTTCTGCTGAACAAAATGTATGCCAAACTAAGCTCTGACTTCTGGTTTTCTGAGTCCCAGCCTCCAAAGTTTTCTCAGGTTTCCAATCCTGGACCCAACTCACTGGCTTCCACCATTTCCTCCTGTGGTACAGTTAGGAGGGAAAGGGCTGAGAAGTGTGAGTACCCCTTCTCATGTACAGTTGATAGATTTGGGGATGCCCAAAGACCCAGAGAATTGCTTCAGATTCATTTACCTAGGTGTGGCTGGCTTCTGAGTGGGCACCAATGTATTTTCCTGGGAATTATGGGAAAAACAACTCTGGCAAGAAGGGGGAAATCAAACTAAACAGTAAGACGTCTGGGCCTCCCTCCCTTGGCCCCATAAAAGATAATTTTGAAAGGCAGGAGAAGGCTGTGCTTTGTTTTCTCAGTAAACAACAAAGCACCTGCATCTTTAACCTAAACTGCCTACCTCTTTCCTGAGATCTTGGAACCTGGTCCAAGGCTAATGCCTCCAAATGTTACTCCTTGAGTAGACAGGACCTGAAGCATTATGGGCCACCTACTTTAAAAGATGGTTCCATCATCCACTAACAAACAGGTTATTCTTAAACTGTGACTGGTTCTGGCAAGATGCTCAAGTCTAGGCAGACGGTGATAAATGAGAATACAATTACGCAGTGGCTACTGCAGCCACTGTCATCCTCGAAATCTCCACAGAAATGAGCTCATTCCACCTCTGAAATATTCCGGAGCTTAAAATTTTAAATCAGGCCAAGCTGATCTTGTGGGGTTTTGCAAGCTTCAACACTGTAATTATATGTAGGACTTTGTGCCACTGATTTCCTCCCAACTGTAACATTTTACATCTTTTTTTAAGCATACGTTGAGGTTGGGGTTTGGTTTTTTGTTTTTTGTTTATTTTTTTTTAGTACATGTTATGAAATAAGATATGAGCTTAAGCCCAGCCTTAGGTATCTTTCTGCCAAAAGGGTGGACCAACACAAACTAAATATGACTATTTTCTTTATCCAAAGTTCAGTTGAGACTATTACGTACCTTCTTAATATACATAAACCTAACTCAAGACCAACACTCCCGGCAGGTCAGCTGAAATCATAACGAGATTTTCCTTTCATATAATGTGATTAACAAATGTTAACTAACCAAACTCCCAAAAGACTCCAGGAGAAAAATAAAATAAAATAATTCATGGAATGCCAAAATGTAAAATAATTTAGATGGTCTTTTATCCCCACTCTTACCCTGCCTGCTTTCTCCTGCCTTTAAATTAACAAATTGCCTATTTATTCTGCTTCTAGGCTAGTGATCTAGAGACAGACAAACCTGAGACTGAGTGTCAGCACTGCCATTCTAGTGAATAAAATAGTAAATATCATATATAAGTTGCATATAAAATGCAACTTTCACTAGCTACCTAGTCTCCTACATTTCCAGTTTCCTCATTTGTAAAACAGAAGGAAAACCCCTCAAAGGATTTTTGTGAGGATCAAATTGAATAAAGCAGGCTTAGATAAGTGCCTGGAAAGTAAAAAGTGTTTCATAAAATGTTTGCTTGCTAATATTGTCAATCTGCTAAATATATCTACTTTTCAAACTAAGTATAAAAATGCCAAGCAGCCTCCTGGCCAAGTGGCCAGATTTGAAATCCATGGAATACAATGGGTCCAACAGAAAACCACAATAACATACATAAAGAGAAAAATGGTCAGCTATCTATCTGACTCAGTTTTACCAAGTCACTGCAAAGGTTTAGAAGCAATAATGACTGTGACAGCTTGGGCCCATAATCCTAAATCCCTGCAAAGGTCATGGTGACATATCACTGAGCCGCTAGCTAAGGAAAGAGCTCTATGGGCCTCCTGGATAATGGGTGAGTCCAACTGCCAAGGTCCTGAGAAAGGACTTCTGACAGCATCCAAGGCAGATAGATGCCTCTAAATGCTGCCTAAATGTTACAGATGTAAAGATCTACTACACTTAGGTAGGCAATTGATAGTTTTCTTAAATAACTATCATTCCCACTCAAATTCAAACTGATGCATCTTTTTTCCTCACATTTTTATCTCTTCACACTTTACCTTCAAAACTACAGGATTTTAACACCTATTTCCCTATTACTAAAATCTCCACTTTCCAAGAAGGGCACTATTTCCCACTGGGGTAGAGTACTGAAAAGGAAGAACACCATGTGGGGAACTCTTCATAACGTTATTTGGGAGCCGTATGCAAAATTCAAACTGTGTATTTATTTAAACTTTAAAAATAGTAATATTGCCAAAGAGAAAAACAATGTTTTCACATGTGGAATTCTCAGCATATTTAAACATTACTTGGTCAGGACAATTTTCACTGAAGAGAATAAGATAAAATAATTCATTCACATTATCCAGATGAAGGAAATGAAAAAAGATACACACAGAGAGAGCATTTTTAAATCTGCAACTGAATAAAAACTTAAAACTTCTTTTCAACAAGTTCTTTAGTAAAGATCATTAACATAGCAGCTTATAACCACAAAATCTGAAGAACCCCCTTTCTTAGCTCTTAGCAGTATTTATCATCTGAGCAAATGTGATGTCTTTTTACTTGTTTCTGTTGGTTTCCTTAGTCTTCGAAGTCGAGCGGGCTATATCATTAGATACAGGCCTTCACCTTCTCATCTTCACCCATTTGTCATTTTACAGCATTAACTTATCTCTTATCAGGAAAAGATTTGGCTTTAAATCCAGATAGCTTGGATTTTGCCTAAATAGAGATGGATCCCCTCTCCAGTTCCACATTGCATGCTGATCTGGTAACAAATATCCATCTATCACTTTTGGGCTTTGCATTTGACTGCCTTAATGTACTTCCAACAGGGGTTTGTGATGTGTAGTTTTTGAGTAAGCTTTGCCAAAAGTGATTGGCATGGTAAAACACTCTTCAGCAAAAATGTTGATCTTTGTGATTCATCTAAGAATTATTATTTATATAACTTAATCTTCCCCAAGTGGTTACTTATTAGACTTATCATTAACTATTAAGTTAAAGTAACTTGAAAAAAATTATTTGTTTGAATCTACTATCATCAGCCAGTGATAACTAAGTAGCTGTCAGCTAAGCATCATTTTCTATTAAGAATGAAATTGGTCTTTCTGATTATGCTTCCAAATCAGAAACAAAGACTATATTTGAGAGGCTAGTGTATAAAGCAAAGAAGTCTAAGAAAGAAATCCAAGATTACATCTTGTCTTCATGTTTGTCCTTTGTGGGAGTCATCTCTCTTATATACCTTATCCTTGACCTTTATGCCTAAATGTTATCTCATCATTTTCCTGCTGAGCTTAGATGATAGAACCAATGCAGAAAGTTTGGTAGTTATCAATGATTTGGTAGCAGTAGCCATTAGGAAGAATAGACATTGCAAAATGTAATATTCATTGAAACAGTGTCATACAAAGTCCATCTTATACTTACTTCTATAAAGATGATATCAATGAGAAGAATTCTAAGCCTGATAAAATGGAAATTGCCAGAACCCAAAAAAACTCAGAAAATGAGCCAAATTCAATGCACAAACTATGTCACAGTTATATTTAATTTTGTGATAACTAAAAACAAATTTTAAGATATGATTATATTATTACATTTAATGGATACACCTTGTCCACAGAGCAATTGAGTTCATTTTACCTGATCTCCACACTTACCAAGCACACACACATTATGCAAGGGTTGTCTGTGATAAATGGAATCTGTAGAACTTCACCCTCATTTTCACATTTTGCAACAGAACCTGAAAAGAAAGAAAAAAAAATTATGTAAACCTTTTTTTGGCATTTTACAAAATCTTAAATTTTCACATTAGTCCTTCTTGAAACATCTACCCAAATTCCAGAAATTCTTAATGAGTTTTGTTATCAAACTCACCAAAAAAAAAAACCTCCTAAAATGTATTTTAAATAGTTTTGTTTAAACAGATTTAAAAAAACAACAACAACACTGTAATATGTTGATAGATCTTCTATTCTCAGATGTTAAACACAATTCCAAGTATTTCACTGAATCTTTAACTTCTGCTTTGTGAAAATATTTCAACTAGGCACACACCCCCACATGCAAAAAATTCAAATTGACCATTAGGGAAGATTTTTAATTCGAAATAAATTCAGGATTCTGTCTATAAGCAGGCCTTTTACATGGATCTGCCTCATGCTGTCGGGTTGAAATCACTTTTTGAAATGCAATCCTCTTTTCTCTTAGAAATTGATTCAACATTTTGTTTTCTGCACCAGGTGTCAGTAAAGTATGTCCTTCAGACTAGCAGCTGAGATCTTCACCTGCTTGAAAACATATAATTATTATATCCTGCTATTATTACTCTTCTTAAAAATGATAGGTTTTTTTTTAATTGAAGATTTGGAAAGCCAATGCTTTAAAAAGCACTGACTAGCACAGTAGAGATATTGAAATCCGATAAACTGCTAAAGGAGGGTGTGCGGAAAACCGCGCAATTTTTTTCTTAGTTGGATATGAGGAAACGATAAAAATAAGGGTTGAGGAAAATACAAAAAATAAATTAAGAAATTTCTCAACTACAAATAGAATATTTATAATCACCACATAGAAGACACCAGTCCTCAGCCTTCAACCTCTCCACCTATTCAAAGCCTTCCCACACCTTCACCCAGGCTTCGCTTCAACCCCAACGCGGGCGACAGGCATGCACCGTGGTGGTGCGCTCTCCCTACCCTCCCATCTCCGGGGCAATCCAGCGCCTCCTCTCCCAAGTACCAAACCAGCGTCCGGAGGGTCAGTCCCTCCCGCGCCCTCCCCTACCTGTCAAGAAGGAGGAAGCCAGAGACATTGGGACCCCCGAGCAATTGAGGAGCAGCAAGACGCAGCAGGTAATCCCAGGCGAGCGCCGGCAGGGACGCTCAGCCAGAGCCCTGACGCCGGAGAACCAGAGCATCGTCACCTGGAGGGAATCCCGGGCGACTGCAGGTCCCGCGCCGCCGCCTCTGCTCCGCTGCCGCCGCTCGCAGTCAAAAAGGGCTTTCAGCCGGCGTGTCGGGAGACAGTCCGCGAAGGAGGGAGGCGGGCGCCCGGGAGCCGGGCGGGAGCGGGCGGGGGAGGGGGGAAGGGGGAGGGGGGCGAGGCGAGGGGTTGGGGGCGCCCAGGGAGGAGGGGTCCCGCGGCCAGGATCGTCCAAGGCAGCTTTTTCCTCCCCTAAGGGAGTTGCTTGCCGCGGGTTAGGAGTCCTCCCCTCCACTCCAGAGAGGGGCCGGGAGGAGGGGATGTCAGAGTGGCCAGAGATAGACGGAGAGGAGCGGCAACGCTGCCGAATGCGCACAGCCGGTCCGCCGCCAGCGACCGGTTGCAGCTACTGCTCCCGGCGCAGCGGCTGCGGCTGCCGGGGCGTCCTCCACTCCCGCACTCTGCAGCTCCCGCTGGTCCTAGCAGCCCTCCGGCGCGGGAGAATTGGACGCACCGGGCACCTCCCGGAACCCGCTGGGGGCGCCCGGGCACAGGAGAGCTGAATGATACCAGCGCCTAGAGCACGCCTCGGCCCAGCGTCCAGCTGGTTCCCCAACTCCTCTGGAAGGCCACCCTCCCCAGGGCGCCGATCCGAGCCGGGAAGGCGCGTCTCCACTGCCCAGGGCGCTTGCCGCCTCCTCCTTTTCCTGAGTAGCCCTCCCCCCCACCGGGGATGCCTCACCACCCACGCTCGCGCCGGGGTGCCCTAGCCCTTTGAGGAAAAAAATGGGGCTCAGGGGCGCCTCAACACCTCTGCTCAGCCCGGGTATCCCGGCTTTGGGAAGGAGCAAGAAACCGGACGCATTAGTCTCCCTACAACTTTTCCCACCCCGTTTTGCTTCTCTCTGGAGGGGGAGAGGCACCAGACTAGCGCGGCTGAGCAGTCGGAGGGACGGGTGTTCTTAGAGATCAGTGCTCTATGTGCTTAAGTGTCTGAGAGCCTTGACACTGGGGAAGACAAGTTGAAACCACAGGCAAGGTCGATTAATAAACGGACTCGGGCAGACAAACGCCTTTCGCCCTAAAAAGAGGAACAGTCACTCAGAAACTCCTCCCTTCCAACCTCGGGTGCACTGGGGCGGGGAGGTGCTATTGGACTAATCGTTCATTCACCCGCGAAAGAGGGAGGGATCCGCCGTGCGGTCCACGGCTAATCTCTAGCTGGGGCCGCCGCTGCGGCGGCCTCAGCTGCTGCTGGGTGTGCAGTCTTCGCTGCTGCCAGGGCTGCAACCTTCTTGCTTCTGCAGCCCTGGTATCAAGGAGTCTGATCCTTTGGTCCTAGCGGCTGAATGGAGACCTCCCACTCAAGCAGTGGCACCCTCTACTCAAAGAGATGCAGTCCAGGAGAGGAGAATTTTTGTAGCTATATTATAAAGGCGTGAGGTGGGTAAGGGACGCTTGGCAAACGTTGGAGCCTAGTGATCAGCTGTGTTTGGGGCCCATTAGGCGACACAGGCTTCTGCTCTTCCAAGAATGGGCACAAGGTACCCGCAAGCCCATCCTCCCAGCGGCAAACCAGTCTGAATAGATCCTAACAGCAAATCATTTCCCCGCGCCGACCCCCCTACCCCATCCCACCCCATGGGACTGGAATGAACCTAAGAGTCTCCAGGCAAATGTGTGGGCTGTTGGTAGTCGGTAGTCGTAGAAACCATATCTTCGAAAGTAAATGAGTCTGTTTGCTTACATGTTTCGTCTAGCTTCATCTTAACCCTTCCCCATTTTTGTTTTTGTTTTTTGTTTTGTTGTTTTGAGTCCACCACCACCCCAGTGATTTGGTGGATTCGCTTAATGAGTGCACACTGCCAACATCCCAACACAACAACCAGCTGATAGGAGCACTTTGCAATGATGTGGGGAAAGTGAGAGAAGGGAAAGCTGTCATTAGCTTAACATGCTCCATTTCCCTCTCAAAACAGATTTTTTTTTAGTGTGAAACTTAAATTAAAAGAGAAAGGAGATGATGTGGTGGCAGTTTTTCCCCCAAATAACGCCATGGCCAGGCAGCTTCTTGAAAATCCATGTACTTAATGTATTTACTAATCATACAGAAAGATAACTTGCAAAAAAGAAAAGAAACATCTCTATACCCAGATTTTACTTCCTGCAGTAGTAACTGGTTTAAAATAAAACATTTAATGTTGCAGATAAGTACAATCAGTCAAAACCACTACCTCCTCTATGTAAAAAAAAATTCTCCCTGGATAGTTTTTAGATCAAATTGTTAATCATGACTTACTTAAGGAAAAGTGAATAATCTAGAGTTGGGAGACCTTTTATTCTCTAGACATCAGTAGATTTGAATAAACACACAGTATAGAATTACAAGACATCCAAAGCATGTGCGTGTATGTTTGATATGCCTTCCCTGGCAGCCGTCACACATCCTCACAGTTTACATGAAAAATATCTTTATGATGGAATTTAGGTACTTGTGGCATTTCTGTAACAGGTGGCATGGTGCTTTGGGATGCATTGGAACTTTCCCCGTAAGTGTAAATTCAAAAACCACCTGGAAAACATTTTCATCTGCCTGGAAGTTTGCAAATGGGAAAGATCTACAGAAGCCTTTGGCAAGCCTGGCTTTTCTTCCTGTTTATTATAATGTGCTGCCCTCTTCATAAATGGGCCCTACTTCTTAAAAAGCGGCTTTCCCCCAAAGAGATTATCAGAATGTTTCCCCATGCATCTACAGCTGCTGCAACCACTCTTAAAGTGTCAGCCTATGCCTATTGGTCTCTGCCCATTAAGACTGAGTTAATTCAGGGGCCAAAAGAAAACACCTGCACTGAAAGGCACATAGATCTGTGTTTACGTTTAACCCAAAAGGTTGTACCATCCAAATGATGTTCACTAGAATCAAAAGGAAGGGGAAAAAATGTATGTTTGACTCTGATTACAACTTCTTTCAAAGGTAAAGAGGCAATGGAGTGCAAAGACCAGTTTAACTCATGGCCTACCCCAGGCTCAGATGGACAAAGTGCTGTCTTCTCTTGCTCTCTAAAATGTGTAACTCAATCATACAGAAAGGGAGAGAGGCCTGGGGTAAGAGAAATTGTCTTCAACTCTTCTCAAATCTATGATGCTGACTTCTCACTGAAAAATTCAACTGAATATACAACTTAGTAATGTGATTTTAAGTCTCAAAGTTACTTCCAGAGAAATCACTTCAACCCAGCTTCCCAAAAATAGAAATAAATAAACCTTTCAACAAGGAACCAGGGTAAAGGAATTGTGATACCAACCACCAGGGGAGGGAAGGAACCCTACCCTAACCCTCATGCATTTATGAGGGTTATACTTACAAAAAACACCAGGCTAGGTATGTAGACTTGATTTTAGACTTGATAAAGGATCATGTCATGAAGGAGCTTACGGTTTAGTAAAGGGGATAAAGCATGCTTACATAATATGTGCAAGGTAGGAAGTGAAGAAGAGCGGAGGAGATAACCTGCCTTGATGATCTAAAAAACAGAGATCAAGCTTCCTGGAGGAGGTGGCACCAGGAGCTGAGCTTGGAATGAAGGAAGGGAAATCTGGGAAAAGCCGGAAGTAAGAATAGAGAAACACAGGATTTCCAAAGAAAATGGGGAGCAGTAATTCTATTGGGCCTATCTGTTGACTGGGCAGAATCTGATGGGAACCATGAAGATGGTGAGGAGTGTATGGATAGCATTTGAGGGATCAACCCCAGATGACCCACAAGAAAGGAAAATTATTTTTTTAGAAGGGAAATTATTTCTGCAGGTGTATTCAGCAATCTGAATGTCTGGTCAGTACTGATCATGATACAGGAGTGCACCATTTCACATGCTTGAAAGTTTTAGGCGATCGAGTGGATGAGGCACATGGATCGTCTTTTCTCAACATCTTAAGCAGTGGTTATATGATTCTTCTTGGGATGAAAATAGAAATGCTACTTTCAGTGGGGCGCAGTGGCTCATGCCTTTAATCCTAGAGACTTGGGAGGCTAAAGCAGGAGGATCACAAGTTTCAGGCCAGCCTCAGCAACTTAGTGAGATCCTGTCTCAAAATTTTAGAAATAGAAAGGACAGGGGATGTAGCTCAGTGGTAATGTGCCCCTGGGTGGGATTCCCCAGTCCCCCACCCCACCCAAAAAAGAAAAGAAATGCCAATTTTAACTATTTTTTAAAGAACTGCAGATCTTAGAAATCATATAAACCTCCTCTTTGCCCTTTCTCTTTCAAAGTCAGAAATCTAAAGACTTAGAGGGAAATGATTTGCCCAGGGTCACATGGTTACTCAATGGCATAGCCCATTTAAACAGAGTTCTTCTGGCTCCCCGATGGTGGTGCTTTCCATTACAGATATTCTGCCTTCTTGGATTATGAGTCATAAGAATTATAGGAAAAGACCATGGGATATTTTAGATATGATGCAAATTAAAGTTACAGAGCTGGCGTGATAGCTACTCAAATATTTATTGAACTGAACTGGAACCAACTATACAAGTTGTAACACCATAAAAAGCAGACCACAACTGAGCTCATCAGTTGAACAGGGAGTTTATTCTTAGATCACTAGGCTAGAATGTGAAAGAACTGCACTCTCTTCTGTGCTTTGCTACTAGTTTGCTTTGTGTGTCATCTTTCAGAGACAGCTAGGCACCAAATGAGGCTAGTGAGAAGTCCTTTAGATTCAGCCAGTGTCCCGGACTCTCATGTCATTCCAAAAACCTCAGAGACTCTGAAATTACTTTTCTGAAGGGATGAGGGGAGTTGGAACAGTGGCCTAAGCACCATCTCAGTGATATTGGTCTAGTTTATACGTGATCATTATTGAAATTGAATTATTAACCATTAGCCTCATCTTACTTTACTGAATCATTTTTCTTCATCTTTTGTAATCTTAAAGACTAAGAAGCTTATCCATTTTTAACAGAGTGTTTTGATAAAGATGATAGGATCCAGACATTTTTAAACACAGTTGCATCAAAATAACAAAATCACGATTTTTCTCATCTTGAAATAATATTGTACTAAATAAACTCCCTTTACTCCTTCTCTGATCACCCATGATTTCACC